TACTAAATGATATAGGTAACTGTTTATCAGACAACATGTGATAGCACATTATAGAGTCATAGCTTTTCCAACAGAGATGATTTTTTATTAGTTCACAATTATTTATCTGCATCAGTAACTAAAAATGTTCTTATCTTTTACTTACTATGAAATTCTCCAGAGTTACTAAAGTGGTATAACCATGAACCAACTCCACTTGGGGGAACAATAGCTGTTATTGAATAAAAATAGAAAAAGGTGTTTGAAAAACTGTTAAATTCAGCATTCTACTCATTAATAACACTTTTCAGTTTATTCCTGGGTGTCTATTTATATGCATCTATATACAATATATGTATATGCATGAAATCAATCTTTTGTTATAAGAACAAACATTTTAATTCATTGTGTACATTGGTGTCTGCCACTGACAGGATTGTTTGCAAAGTCAGTGATAACACGTGTCATTTTACTGAGTGATTAATTTCTATTGGCTCAAATCACTAGGTTAGTAAGACAAAGTAGTTACTCATACTCAAAAATGCATAATCAGTAAATAGTTTTGGGATTTATCGCTTTTAGACTTGAACTGTTCCACTTATTTCTGAAATGGATGGATTATTTCTAGTAAACATAAAAATGAAAACCTTTTAGCAAGTCTTCTAGTCTTAATCTTTTAGAGCAAATTAAGTCCTTTAAAAGGATGTCTTAGTTTGTTCTATTTGTCAGTAATGTATTACTTTCACTTTATCATTTTGCTTTCACTTTATTTTTTTTAGAAAAATTATAACTAGTCCATCAAATTAGATCACTTTGATTTATAATACTGTGTTACAAATGTGTGCAAGTCAAATTTTGGGTGCATTTTAAACCACCTTTTTAAAAAATTACTATTATATATAGCAAAGATGCCAACATTATAAGTTCCTAGCTTTGATCTCAAGATAGAATGAAATGAATTAGTTCTATGCATTATAATTATTTAACTTTAAAACCAGGTAAAAGTATATGAACTTCAGCATTGTTAAAGTGTACTTCAGTATTTCCACAACATCTCAGTTTAAACTTTATGGCAGGTATTTTGCCAGGTATTGAAGATGCATACACAAGAAAGACTGATCTTCCCTCGGGAAGCTCATAAAAATTTGACAGAGATAGAAAAGGTGATGGTACTGGAGGAAGTGGACTTTATTATTTAGCATTTATTTGGTGTACACATTGCAGACACTTCATAATATTTTAATTAGCTCTTGTAATACCCCATAAGATATTTTTATTACTCCCATTTTACAGAAGGAGAAATAGTCTTAGAGGTGACAAGTGGCCCACGATCATAAAACTAGTAAGTGGCCGAGTTGTGATGCAGGCCTTTTATACTCCACACTCCATGTCGATTTATGCTATAGGAAACCTTTTGTATGCCAAGCATAATGAAGATGTGAAAATGGGTAATATATGGTCCCTGTCCTCAAATAGTTCTAAGTTTTGTGAGAACAACTCATGTTCTAAAAAAAATCTAAGATTCCATTATTTTAGGCTATGTTTATTTAAACCTGTCTTACCACAGTTTCACTCAGAAGCATTAGATGATGATAAAAGGATGGTTAAAGCACATTTTCCCATTAATAGTTGTTTTCATTCATTCATTATTTTAGATTCAGAGGTACATGTGTAGGTATGGTACATGGGTATGTTGCATGATGCTGAGGTTTGGGCTTCTAATAATCCCATATCCCAGATAATGAACATAGTACCCAATAGGTAGTTTTTCAACCTCTGCCCCACTCCCACCTTTCCCCACCATTTGAACTCTCCAGTGTTTATAGTTCCCATCTTTGTGTCCATGTATACCCAATGTTTACTTCCCACTTTTAAGTGAAAACTTGCAGTATTTGGTTTTATTTCTGCATGAATTTGCTTAAGATAAATGGCCTCCAGCATCATTTATTGGTTGCAAATGACATGATTTCATTCTTTTTTATGGCTGCAAAGTATTCCATGGTGTGTATGTACCACATTTTCTTTATCCAGTTTGCTGTTAAAAGGCACCTGGGTTGAATCCTTGTCTTTGCTATGTGAATAGTGCTGGGATAAACATAGAAATGCAGGTGTCTTTTTGGTGGAATGATTTATTTTCCTTTGGCTATATACCCAATAAGGGGATTGCTGGATCGAATGGTAATTCTATTTTTAGTTCTTTGAGAAATTTCCAAGCTGCTTTTTACAGGGCCTGAACTAATTTGCACTCTCACAGACAGTGCGTAAGTGTTCCCTTTCTCCATAAACTCGTTAACATCTGTTACTTTTTGACGTTTTAATCATAGTCACTCTGACTGGTGTGAGGTGGTATCTCATTGTGGTTTTGATTTGCATCTCTCTGATGATTAGTGATGTTGAGCATTCTTTCATATGTTTCTTGGCCACTTATATCTTCTTTTGAGAAGTGTCTGTTCATGTCCTTTGCCCAATTTTTAATGGAGTTACTTGTTTTTTTCTTGTTGGTTTAAGTTTATTATAGCTTCTGGATATTAGTCCTTTGTTGTATGCATAGTTTGCCAGTATTTTCTCCCATTCTGTAGGTTGTCTGTTTACTCCATTGATAGTTTCTTTCGCTGTAAAGAAGCTCCTTAGTTTAATTGGGCCCCAATTGTCAATTTTTGGTTTTGTTACATTTACTTTTGAAAACTTAGTTGTAAGTTATTTGCCCAGGCCAATGTCTGAAAGGGTATTTCCTAGGTTTTCTTCTAGGAAGAAAGGTTTTTAATTTGAGGTCTTACATTTAAGGCTTTAATTCACCTTGAGTTAATTTTTTTTATATCTTGAAATGTAGGACTCCAGTTTCATTCTTCTGCATATGTTAGCCAGTTTTCCTGGCACATATATTGAATAGGGTGTCTTTCCCCATTATTTATTTTTGTCAATTTTGTTAAAGATCAGTTGGTTGTAGGTGTGCAGCTTTATTTCAGGGGTCTTTATTCTGTTCCCTTGGTCTGGGTAAACCACATTTTGAACGTGAGTCTGTTGATTCATTTTCTATTCTTTCTTCACTTTTTCTGTAAGAGATTTTTGTATCAAAGTCTTATAACTGGTGTGACTTACTGCTATTATCTTCCTCCCCCTCCAACACATTTTTTTGTTTGTTTGTTTGAGACGGAGTCTTGCTCTCTTGCCAGGCTGGAATGCAGTGGTGCAATCTCGGCTCACTGCAACCTCCACCTCCCAGGTTCAAGCGATTCTTCTGCCTCAGCCTCCTGAGTAGCTGGGACTACAGGCATGCGCCACCATGCCCAGCTTTTATATATATATGGAGTCTTGCTTGGTCGCCCAGGCTGGAGTGCAGTGGCACAATCTTGGCTCACTGAAAGCTCCACCTCCCGGATTCACACTATTCTCCTGCCTCAGCCTCCCCAGTAGCTGGGACTACAGGCGCCTGCCACCACGCCTGGCTAATTTTTTTGTATTTTTAGTAGAGATGGAGTTTCACCATGTTAGCCAGGATGGTATGGATCTCCTGACCTCGTGATCTGCCTGCCTCGGCCTCCCAAAGTGCTGGGATTACAGGCGTGAGCCACCATGCCCAGCCTATTAATTATCTTAAATTGCTGCTGAGGAATATTGTATTGTCCTGTACAACTCATCTCAATTAGTTTTGCTCATTAACCATTCAAACAGAAAACCAGGGAAGTATCTGAGTTTTTTTGTTTTTTTTTTTTTTTTTTTTTTAAGACCAACTACTTTATTTTAGTTCAGGTAAAATTTAAATTTCTGGGGTAAAAAATTATGGTCAGGATTAGTTAGTTTTTGGATGCAACCGAACATTTTAATCCATCTTCAAGTCCTCCTTGCAAAAAGCATGTAAATCTTTCCTATGTTATCCCCTGCCTCTTAAGCAAGGAAGACTTAAAGATACTTCATCATCATTATGGATGGAATAAACTACAACGTATCAAATTCTAGGTGCCACAAATCAACAAAATAAAAGGTAACCAAGTGCTGGTAATACGTGTGTGTGTGCGCGCACACGCGCGTGTGTGTGTGTGTGTGTGTGTAGAATCATTGATTTTCACCTTGGGTTGGTCATATAAAAATACCCAGGATACTTTTCAAATGCAGCATTAATACCGTGAGATTCTGATATGCTGTGTATGTTGGAACAGGTAAGGATTGGAGCAGGACAGACAATGGAAGATAGTCTCCAGGGTATTTGGATTTCTGCACTTTGAAAATGATCTTCAGGTGCTTTTGATAGTTTCAGTTTCCCACTCTTCCAACCTCTTTTTTAAGAACACTGAAAAATATCGCCTAAAATAACCTCATGCATATCAAGTCAATATGCATTTACCTCAACTGTATTTAACTTACTAATCATAATTCTTATCATTCAGTGATCACATATGCCAGGAACTATGAAAGTTGTATTGATTTTATTGTAGATGGTTAAAATTATTTGGTGCTCTGTTATGCATTAGAATATAATAGTTTAGACAAGTAGTGTTTTACTGAATGAAGTTAATAAGCTGAAAAAAAGGTAATGTCTAGTATCTCACAGATACTTGCTGTGTCACATTTCTTAGGTTAATCTAATTTGTTGTTTGCAGCAACACCATGAGGCAGGTACTGGGAAAACAGGCCTGGCTGGGGGAGACAGAGCCCCTTGAGTAAATGGCTTGGCAAGGCAATAGTACCTTTGTACAAACCCCTCTGCAGAGATTGTGCATTGAGCAACCTTTCCAGAGCCTATGACCTTTACTACTGCACTTTGCTATTTTTTGCTAATAAGTTAGATTTAGAGTCTTTGCTGTACATTTGCGATTTAATTAATTAGCAACTGTTTATTGAGCACCTGTTCTTTCCATTGTTTGAGAATTTTCATGTGTGTGTATATATACACCATATATGTGTAATTTATACAAGAGTCTGTTATTAATGTTTTTGATGTAAGTAAAAATCTAACCTTATAAAATAAATGTAAAATTAACATTTTATTGGATAACATTTTATTTGATACTTTTTAATTTTAGTTTATCGATGGTCGACTGGCAAAACTAAATGCAGGAAGGGGTTTCTCTGATGTATTTGAAGAAGAGATCACTTCAGGTGGCTTTTGTGGAGGTAAAGACAAGTTACAATATGATTATCCATTTTCTCAATAACAGTCATCTCAGTCTTTGCACTTGTGTCTGATAAAACCTATTTCATGAACAACTATTTTCTCCTAAATATGGAATGTCTTAAATATATTTTTTTCATCTTATAAAAGATATGGTATTAGCTTATTTTGCCTGATATCTGTTACTCAAGGCATTAAGTTGGCCTCCTGAATTGGTAGCTGTTGGCCTGGATAATCTCTTAATATTGATGGAAATCAGTAATACAGAAATCCAGTCAACTCGTATCTTCCTGTCTTTCCTTCTGAATAGTAGTATTCTCTGCTAGAAAACTACTAATGATGGTTATTACTGAGTATGAATTTAAGAACTAAAGTTACGATTGGTAATGCAATCCAAAAAGAAAGGTCTGAACACCAAAATTCTTTCTACATATTTAAGTAACTGTATTATTATCTAGATATCTTTACCTTTTTTACTTTATAGATCACTGCAGCATTAGGAAAGTTTCCAGTTTACCATTCCATAAATACAATTAATCCTTCTAGTGTAAATGTTCAAATAATATTATAATTATCTAGGCAATTAATAACTTACAAACTGATATTTTTGCACGATTGCTGTGGTGTATAGTCTTGACTTGCAGAGCATTTGGCTTGAGTCCTTGAAATGACCTGTTCATTCACTGAGTATTTGCTGAGTGCTTACAATGTATTAGGCACTGTTCTAAATATTAGGTGTACTAAATAAACAAAAATCCCTGTATTCTATATCTTAGTGTGTTAATTTTTGACCTGGTATAATAGCAATTTTTAAAACTTCTTTGTATGTTTGTTTTGAGGAAAAAAAATTTCGGTCTATGTGTAAATAAATAGATGCTGGAATTGAGAAATGAAACATGAAAAGACAAAACGTAATAGGTACTCCTCTACACATTCCACAAAATTTAACGTTATTTTTAAGATTCATTTTCCCATCATGAAAATATAGAAACCATTGAGATAATTGGTTCATTAAAGGAAGTACAAATGAACTCAGCAGTTGTGGAACTTTATCTGATATAAGTATAGCATTTCATTGAAAGCATTTAGCTTGGGGAAAAGTTAGTTTGCTTAACTCAGCAAGGAAGCTGAATGTGGAATCATTCAGCTCCTTGCTTCCCTCAGTTCATGGGTAAAAATTTAGCTTCAATTGAACTTTTGTGTTAAAATAAGACTTTTTTACTTCTCAATTCAGACAAGCAAAATATTGTCAGCTCATGGACAAGTTGCTTGAGGCATCTCTTCAGTATTTACATAACTGCTGTCTCATTATCTTTATGACCCGTGGGGCTAGTAGCTTTTATAGAATTGAAGATGACATTTTGTGACAATAAGAGGCTAGAACTATGATCCTTTTGTACAGTTAAATTCTGTAATCTTAACCATTGGTCCAGGTACCTCTGTAATAGAGTAGAGATAGGTGACTTTTCTGGTGGGAGGGCCTACTAAAATTTTTCACGAAAAGCCTTATTGTTTAAAAAAGGTTAGGAGAATATGATTGCCAATTAGTATCTGACTTAGAAATTGCTACATTTTCAATACAACTTAATGCCCACTACTTTGTTGTTCTTTATTAAAATGAAAAGGTTTTGAACTCTTATTTTAATTTGAGAGAGCCAGTACTTATCTAAAAGGAAAGCCTAATTTGACAAATATTAATTCCAGTGAGTACAGCAAGAAAGTTCCTTAGAAATTTGTGCCTGTCAAGCATTATTTTTAAATTATTCTATGTTATGTTATAGATACACAGACTTTTTTTGTAGATGAAAATAAACTCAAATGTGTTAGAATTTGAAATAAAAAGATGACTAATATAATAAAAATTAGCAGTGTTCTAACTATTAATTAGAAGATATCCATCCAGCTAGGGGTGTGTGTGTGTGTGTGTGTGTGTGTGTCTTTACAAAATGGTTCCTAGAGGTCAGTTCCAAACATTTGTCATTCACACTACCCTTGTGAGAAAGAAGAATATGTTGATGTCATGAAATCAACCTATGATTCAAAGAAGTAAACTGATCTAACATTGTTGTTTCTCTCCTGATAATAGTAATATAATAATTGCTTATATTTATTGAGCACTAGTATGTGGCAGACACTCTCCCAAGAGCTCTACAAATATTATCTCATTTAATCCTCACAACACCCAAGGAGATACTTTCATTAGCTCATTTTTATTGAGTATTCAGCTCAATAATTCACTCAAGGTCACACAGCCAGTAGTGGCCAGAGTCTCAATTCCACATGTGTCTATGTGACTTCAAAGATATCCTGTTTTTTTATAATAGATTTTCTTAATGCAAAAACATTCAGTAAACAAGAGTAATACTTAACTCTTTCCTACTCTGATTGAATCAAAGCAAAATTCTCATCTCTTTTGACTTTCTTGTAGATTTTTTATACATAAAGTCCTAGAAAGACCACTGTGGCAGAAATTAACATTAAAACTAAGAAAAACTTATGTTCCTTTAAGCAAAAATAATTAGGAAATTTCAGAGAAACATGTATTTTCTCCTCTTTATCATTGCAATAGTAGTTTATACACTATTTTTGTTAATGCCGATGGTTATGATAAAATGAATATGAATATGATGGAGCTTTATCATTATTGTGACTCGGATTAAAAATATACAGTGCGGGACAATCAGATAAGGAACATCTAGATTCACATTTGAATCTAGAAGTGTATGGGTTACAGAATCTGTGAATGCATGCATGTTTTTAAAACCTGCCTCTGACCTGTGAGCCCTCAGCAGGACTATTAAGGAAATCCATGTCACACCTTATTCCTTCATGAGACCCTTGCAACATCTTTGACCTTAACTAAAAAGGAAAATTTTAACTTAACTTAAAAGGAATGTGTAAAGGGAAGAATAATCATGGAGTTTAAAAGATAATAAAACAGGACAGGAGTAGAACAAAGGATGCATTTAAGTAAACATAGTATTGGTCTGTGAAAAAGCAGGTAAAGAATATTGAGTAGTTAAGCACATATTCTCTCTTTAAATATTTTTTTCATTTAAAAGAAAACTAGTTTTTAAATTTACACCAAGTTAACTTTAAAAAGGAGAAATGTTTTCAGATTCTTTTTATGAGGAGTGTGTAGTTACTCTCCATCACTAGCATGTGTTTCTTCCTTAGTTTACACATATGATCTGATGAGTCTTTTATTTGTTCTTTTATTTATTTTTCCGTTCTTATTTAGTTTTACTGACTAAGGTATCAAAGGAATTTGAAGGAAGCGGTAGGTAATATCAGTTTTAATGGCATTTTTCCGGCCTTGTTGAACAATTTAGACCAATTTATATTTTGAGATAAATAAGTACAAATTACTGAAATTTAAGCAAGTACATTTGAAGAGAAAGTCTTGGCATAAGTGAGAAATAGATATTTTGTCCTTGAGTGTGAGAAAATCACTTGTTTTGTTAACAAAAATAATGTTAAGGATTTCCTCAGTAATGCGTATTATTGCCATAATCTAGTTATTTTAAAAGAAGGATTCTGAGGGATTTCTTCAGCATTCAAATTAATTTTTAGAAGAACAACAGCTTCTTTTCTAATACTACTAAAGAATAATGTGCTTTTCTCATAAATATTGTGGAAATAGGAACCTTAAATCATAAAAGCACTGAAATTTAAAGGCACAATTAGCCCTTAAAACTTTTAAAATAGGAATCTGCCTAAATTGTACCATGTTTTCCTAACATCAAAGCAAGGGACTTCCTTGCCCCTATATTATGAAATTTTAGATTATTACTGGTAATTCTCTCTATTCACCTTCTTTTTCAGGGTATTAGCCTTGAGCAGTCCCTTTCCCTTTCAGATATAATTGCCTTGGGTGTGACATAGAGGAAACTCTGTATAACTTAAGTTTTAATCATATTTTACATAGCAGTCTTAGACGTAGTTTTTCAGACTTGAAGGAATAATGAACCGGGAACTAAAATCCTAGATGATTATTCTTTTTCAGTTGCTAGCCTTGAGAACATGAGTGAATAATACGTCATCATAGAACCCCAGTTTTCTGTTTTGGCAAATTATTTATAGTAATAATGATCATTTATGATATTTCTTCAATATACTATGTACCATACCAAACATTGTTTAATCACTATCTTTCATCCTCACAATAATCCTGAAGGGCAATGACTATTATGCTTATTTGATGAATGAAGAAACTGATGCTCAGCCAAGTTAACGACCTTATCCTAAATCACATCCTTCACAAGGATAGAGTAGGCCTGAGCTCCAAAGGTCCATTGGACTTCAAAGCCCACTTCCTTCTCATTGAACTGACCACTTATGGCACTGTTTGCCTATTCTACAGTAGAAAAATACAGTTCAAATAATGTAGATAAAAACATGTAATGACTTGTACAGAGCTGAAAATTAGCTTTTTTATTCCTCATAGTTCTAAATAAGACCCTAACCTTTCTACAATGGTTTGAAACTTTTATGATAGCTAGTTTCTTTGTGGTTCAGAGGTTTTAAAAAATTGTTTTCTGAATTGACAAAGGTTACAGAATGCTAAACTGGTGTTTCTTCCTCCACTTTCTTACATTTATTTTGGGAAAACAATTAAAACACTTTCCAGAATACTGTGAATAATAACAAAGTCTTAAATATATGATTTCCACTCAACCATTTTTAGTAGAGAAGTAATAAGTATATGAACTGATGAGAGCTCTTTAAATACAGAAATAAACATATATGAATAATCTGGATGAGTAAAGATCTGTGGTTTATTTTGTAGTTTAAAAATATCTCTGAGAAATAAGTTGGTAGGATAACTTGGAATGTTTTACTATTTTACAAGGGAAATATACTTTTAAAAGTTTAGTCAAACCAAATATCACCTGAAACTCATACCTTTTAAACAGTACAACTTATTTTTACAAAGGTTATTTTAGGTAGTTACATTTTGCTGTAGTTATTTCACAAGTTAAATAATGTGAAAAAAAAAGTTTGTTGTCATATTTCATCCCCAGAAAAGGTGCAGTGCTGTGTTCTGAGTAGTCAGAGATATTTTTCAGAATAAAAATTGTTTCTTGAGATTTCTTTTAAATTAGAGTAAGATTTTAAATATAGAAGTGAATCCAGAGCCGGACACTTCTTGCCTGATGTTGATCAGAGATGCAAAGATAACAGCTAGAAAGAAATTTTGGGACTGAGATAATTTTGTCTCTATTTTGTAAGAGCAAGGTGATACATCTTTTAAAATCCACAGCCACAAAGTAGAGGAGAACAGTATGTTTTAGGGGTTCTTTGTACTGGATAGTGTCTGAGTAGCCATTGGGACTTAAAAAAAAAAGAGAGAGAGAGATGGAGTCTTGCCCTGTCTCCCAGGCTGGAGTGCAGTGGCATAATCTTAGCACACTGCCACCTTGAACTCCTCGGCCAAACAGTGCCCTGGCCACAGCCTTTCAAGTAGCTGGCACTATAGGTAGGAGCCACTACAACAGACCTGGGATTTTGTTTCTTTATTGTGACTTTTTACCCCTGTGACTTAGGGAGTATTTAAGTTTTTAAACAAGAAGGTAGCTGAAATCTAACTGAGATCATTTTATGGGAAAGATTAGATAAGTTGTATATGTATTTCTTTTTTTACCTTCTGATATCATCTTATTGACTAAAGTATTTATCAGTTTGGAACCAGATACGTTGATTGCCAGATATTATTAGAACTACTTTTTTTAGCGCTTGAGCCTTTTCATAATCACGACAACCTATAACCTAAAAGCTGCATTTGCTTCACATTTCCTTGGGTAATAGTTTTCTAACTTAACAGATTTACAACTAGAGGATATTTTCAAAACTAAAACTGCAAGCTTACATTAAAATAAAGTTAGCTACTAATCTCTGTTAATATTTAGCAGTTGTAGAAGAATGTTTTTTTGTTGCCAAAGTTTTTGCACTTCTAAATTTTCTTCTAGTTTTTTTAAAGTTCTCTATGTACATGAAATATTATTTTAAAATAAACCTAATTGTGTAAAAGAGGCAAAAGTTTACAAAACAACATAGATATTAAACATTGAAAAGTCAGTTTGAAAAACATAAGAAATTTGGATTTCAAAAGAGAGGTTGATTATATTTTCTCCTCTGAGGCTAATATTAAAGTGAAAGAAGATTGAACACTGTTAGGTTTCAGATATGGATGAAGAAAAAGTGATTCTCTGTTATTCCTAAAACTGCTAATTACTCTCTTCCTAAGAATTAGGGCAATTTATTAGTTCTTATGATGCCATTGCTTTTATTGCTTCTTTTACAACAGTGCATATAAAATTTGCCTACTAAAAATTGTACAAATACTAGTTCTTGATAAATTTTGGTTTACGATTTATCTTGATAAATTTTGGTTTATGATTTATTTTTGATCAACCATTCCTGGCATCTCATTTTTATATATTCCAGGGAACCCGAGGTCATATCAACAATGGGTTCATACAGTCAAGGTAATCATAAGCTTTCAAATGTTATTCTTTTACTCTAATATAAATGGAGAAATGTTCAGCAAAAGTATGCTGTTTATACTTATGCTGTTTATTTGAAATATTTGAAATGTTTGTATATTTTGTCATATTTTAAATATTCTTATTTTATGTTTATAGTTTGTTGATACTCATTAAGATAATTTTTAAATGGAAAGTTTTGGTCTAAAGATAAATGGCTCATTTTGAAAAGCAAGATTTTCCTGCCAAATCTTGTTTTTCTTATATTATTTTCCAGAAGAAGAAATTAGGTGGGTTAGTAGGATTTGATGGCAATTTTATAATTTGTGGTAATGTAGTTTTGTTAATATGATTTTTAAATATGAAACTTTCTCCGACAGAGACTTTATTTGCCCAATATTAAAACAGCTGATAAACTTGTATTTCTTTCTTATTAAGCTTTAAATATATTCAAATTACTAGTCATATTGCTCAAGTCTACCTAACCTTCAAGGAAAAAATGATTTTTAAGTGATGTATTATATCAACTAAAGAATAAAGTGGAAAGTGTACATTTTGTTTGAAATTATATAGTACATAGAAACTTGAAAACATTGAACATGAAATAATTTGTGTATGTCTTTAAGTTGTGAGTAAAGCTCTTTTTTTATGCAACTTGCTATAATACTTTGTTTTCAGGACATTTTGGCCAAACGTCTTTCCATTTTTCTTTTGCAGAAAGGAGGTGCACTATTCAACACAGCAATGACCAAAGCAACCCCTGCTGTACGGACAGCATATAAATTTGTAAGTTTTTTTGATATTTAAAAATCCTATTTATGAAATTATATAACATTTTCCTAGATGATAGACATGTAAATTCTGAATATTTTCTATTTTCCTTTTAAATAAACCTAAAAATTTTAGGATTAATATTGACCAAAGAAAATTCAATTGTTAAAATTACAACATTGCATGCAGAGGGTAGTTTCTTTTATATAATCTAAAAATGGTTCTCATTTTATTTCAAAGCTATCAGCAAAGTTGTGCAGCAAATTGAAACAGTTCATGATGGGGTGCCATTTTGTAAAATGTCATTATTTCATTTAACAACATTTTACATTCTTGCTGTGTACTTGTGGCTCAAGTAGGGGGAAAAAAAAAAAGAAAAATGTAGCAAGGTCTTTTCCCTCAAAGATGCATTTACCGTCTATTAACATTCTTCAGTGAGTCTCTAAGGCAAGCTTGTTCAACCCATGACCTGTGGTCTGCGTGTGACCTAGGATAGGTTTGAATGAGGCCCAATACAAATTCTTTTTTTTGTTTGTTTTTTTGAGACAAATTCTCACTCTGTCACCGAGGCTAGAGTGCAGTGGCACGATCTCTGCTCACTGTAACCTCCACCTTCCAGGTTCATGCGATTCTCCTGCCTCAGCCTCCCAAGTAGCTAGAATTACAGGCACCCATCACCACGCCTGGCTAATTTTTGTCTTCCTAGTAGAAATGGGGTTTCATCATGTTGGCCAGGCTGGTCTCAAACTCCTGACCTCAAGTGATCTGCCCACCTCCACCTCTCAAAGTGCTGGGATTACAGGTGTGAGCCACTGCACCTAGCCCCGACAGAAATTCTTAAACTTTCTTAAAACATTATGAGATTTTTCTTGTAATCTTCTTCTCCTTCTTCTCCTTCTTCTTCTTATTATTCTCCTTCTCCTTCTCCTCCTCCTCCTTCTACTCCTTCTTCTCCTTCTCTTTCTCCTCCTCCTTCCCCTTCTTCTCCTTCTCCTTCTCCTCCTCCTCCTCCTCCTTCTTCTTCTTTTCCTCCTTCTTCTCCTTCTCCTTCTTTTTTTTTTTTTTTTTTTTTTTTAGCTTATCAGCTTTTGTTAATGTTAGTATATTTTATGTGTGGTCCAAGACAATTCTTCTTCCTCTAGTATGGCCCAAGAAAGCCAAAAGATTGGACACCCTTGCTCTAAGACTTATAGGAAAAAAACCAGAAATAATAGTAAGAATAATAAAGTAAACAATAAATGATAAAGTAAAAAAACTCTTCAATATGACAATTAAGACCCTTCAAAACCCAACCCTTCATGTCTAGTTCCTTTTCCCCCTACACCTCAGAACCTTCCATATCTCTGAAGATACTTAGCTGCTCTTCGTTTCATGAATATAAGATATTCTCCTCTGCCCTTTGATTCTTGGTCAAGCCATTCTTATTAATTGGAATGTCAGTTTCTTGGCCTTTATCCACCTAGAAAACACCAGTTCATTTTGTAGGACTTAGTTCAGACATTATTTCCCCTGAAAAATTTTTCTGAACCCTACACAAAAAAAGTTTATACACATATTTTTGTCTTCTCAACCCTACACAAAAATGTTTATATACGTATTTTTGTATCTGTAGGACCTTCTGTTTCCACACTTGTTTTGTCTATGTACATTTCTGTTTTAATACTAGTCTAGTAACTTCTCAGGAGGGAAGCTAGTGGGTTGTGTTCAATAAATTTTTAAAAATTCAATAGGTCATATATTTTTTATTTCTAAAAATATTTAAGGCAATAGTTTTGATTTTGTAAGAATTTGTCTTCAAAAGCTTTTCTCAGTAAATGAATTGATGTGGTTGAATTAATAATAAAATAGTATATTTTAATAAAAGTTTAGAACTTCTGTTATTCCTTGACTGAAAATTGTGATAATGTGGCCACTCTTTCTGTTTAAAAATTCCATTCAAATATTAAATTTTATAGTAGGGAAGATAATCTATAGAATTGATTAAAAAATACAGTCCCAAAATTATAGTTATTTGAACCCTAACCATAAAGCCAAAGTAAGACAAGGTTATCATTTTGCCTTAGAAACTTCAGCCTCTGCATTTGTTTCATTGTTCTATGGCTTTCCTAGGAAACCTTTCTGGTGGTTTAAGTGCAGGTTTTGAAGAGATTTTTTTTTTCACACTGAAATAGCACACAACTACCATGTGAAAAAGCAAAGTAATGTTGATCCTTGTTTCTCATATTCATTTAAGATTCTAAAAATAGTTTCACAGTCAATAGCCCTTCATTTTCTTCTGGAGCAGGCAGTTGAGGGTTTTTTTTTTTTAGTCTTGAAGTTGTATTGTTTTGCCAAATATGTGTCTTGCCTTAATTTCCCTCATATTTTTCACAAAAGCACAGCAATGAAGCAAACATATTCAAAACCCTATTCATTATTTTAAAATTTATCCTTCTAATCAGTGGAGTATTTTATTTTGAACTCTTCTCCGCAAGGAAGTAAAATCTTTTCAAATTAAAAATTCTGTTCTTTGGGTCGGGTGCTGTGACTCACGCCTGTAATCCCAGCACCGGGAGGCCAAGGCCGGTGGATCGCTTGAGGTCAGGAGTTTGAGACCAGCCTGGCCAACATGATGAAACCACCTATCTGTTGAAAATGCAAAAATTATCCAGGTGTGGTGGCGTGTGCTTGTGGTCCCAGCTACTTGAGACGCTGAGGCAGGAGAATTGTTGGAGCCTGGGAGGTGGAGGTTGCAGTGAGCCAAGATTGCGCCACTGCACTCCAGCCTGGGCCACAAAGTGAGACTCTGTCTCAGGGAAAAAAAAAAAATTCTACTCTGGAGAATTATTCCCTAAATTAATTAATTTCAGGTGAATTAAGGTCTTTAGAATATACCTAATCACTTTTATCATTTATCTTGTGATCATATCATCCCTGAATCCAGAAGTTTGGGGCAGGTAAGTCAGTCATTTTGTGACCTTTGTAGTTGTCTCTAAAACTGATCTTTCCAGACTGCTTATTTTCTGATATCTGTACTCTGAAATTCCTTCTTTTACCACAAATTGCTATGAATAAAACTCCCAATTTCTTTTGTGTGGTATAACGGAATTTACTTACCTTGGTTTTCTATAGGTAGTAAATTTTTCAAAAGTAGGAATCATGTTTTTACCTCTATCTCATTTATTCACAAATTATTTGAGTGCCTATCATGAACTAGGCTTTATACTCATCATTGGAGTTATAGCAGAGCATGAAGGTACAGTAAGAGATACTGTTCCTACTTTTATATTTGTTTTCCTATCACTTTGCTCTGCACTTTGAACATACTACAGAAATACTGAGTATGTGTTTGTCAAAGCGAATAATGATTCCGTCCTGTTCTTACAACATTTTTATACTTATTTTTATGGTTACAATTTTTTCCTGTGCTTTTCATGCATATGTTTTTCCATGCTGATAGGGGTCATACAGAAAACTAGAGTTATCATACACACTTGTATAAATTTAAGAATAACAGCAAAGTGTAATTCATATTTTATTTGGCTAAGCGGTTTTCAAAGTCATCTTTCTTGTTAGATCTCAATTTTAAATTATTACCAAAGCCATTTGCTTGGAGCATTTCTCTGGAGAATACATGCATTTTGTTAAGCTTCAAACTGGTAAGTTGAAAAGGATAGAGAGAACCTATATCCCATCTTCAGGTAATCTGAAGGAAGTCAGAGAAGGACATAGTACCACAATTATTTAAATGAATCAGTGCACTATGGAATTATAGAACCATGGAAAAGACTGACACTAGTAGCCTCAACTCTGTAGAGTATCTGAAAAGATTAATGTGATCAAGTGGATTAGAGGATAGTTAGCTAGATTACAGTCTCCCTGAGTCACTATCCTTGTTTTAAAATGTGATTATAGTAGTACTAATCTTACAGAATTGTTGTGATAACTACCTAAGATAATGCATGCTAAGCACACAGTCATATATTTAGGAAACAAAATAAATATGAATTCCTTTTCTCTTCTTTTTCACCTTGGCCACTGTGAGTAGGAATTTCTAGTGGAACAAAGGCTAGGGCTTTCATGAAAGCCCCCAGTTGTCTTTAGTTAAGTTATACCCCATAGGAATCACAGCAGGATGTGAGAAACTCAAATGCTGTGGCCAGATTCCCTGTGAAACATGAGTATAGCTTTAAATTGTTAAATGACTTTTAATTTTTACCAGAAAAACTATATATAAAATACCATTCCATTAAGATGCCTCTGCTAATAAAATTCTGTGTCTGTCTGTAAAAGCGCTTAATAAAGCTTTGTAAAATTGCCAAAGTTTCTTCAAGTTAAACATCTGCCCAAATAACTTGCTGCTGGGATGTACTTTCTCTGTTCCTCCAGTTTGTTAACAGTTTTAACATTAGTAATCTGGTTTATTCCTTTTGTGTTCTTAATAGTTTAGGAAACAACATAGGCTAAATGTTAGCCTTCATATGATACTTGTATACAAAGAAGAGACTAATGGTTTTACCAACTGATTTAGGTGTAATAAAATAGTAAGTGATAATGTGTATCCCTGAAAATAGAGTGTTAAGATTATAATCTGTTCTTTTTCTAAATCATATGAATAGTTAGTAATTGTCATTAGATGTGGTCTTGTATACTTATTCTTTAAATGGTAATGGAACTATCCTGAGCCAGGCACATTTATTATCATTTTCTAGGCAAAAAATCATGCAAAGCTGGGACTAAAGGAAGTGAAGAGTAAACTAAAACACAAGGTATGTCATATTCACTTTTTTTCCTTTTTACCTTGATTCTTGTATTAATTTGAAGTTTATACTTTACAAATTAGAAATTTATGTTTTTAATGACTTTTGAAATATGCTTAGCCCTTTGCTCAAGAATGTTTTTTTATAACAAGCCCTCTGGCAACTATCTGCTATTCTGTATGCATTCACTGAATAATCTCTTTACTGTTTGCATATTTTATCACAGAACTATGGAAATCTTCAAAGATGCTTTAACAGGATGTATGTTTTCATAAAGTTAATTGCCTTGATATCACAATTGAAGTTCTTGCTTTATGCTAAGATTTTTTTTAAATATATCTTTTGCGTAGAAGTAATCCAGGAACACCATCATTTGTTTTGATAGTCTCATTCCAATAGTATTACTTTAAAATGAAGAATGTTCTTAATTTACAAAAAATTATGTATGTATTTAAGCTATGAATATTGCAGATATATAAATATGTGTATATGTGTGTTGATTTTAATTTATATCTTTGCAGATTTTATTATCAGTTGTTATGTTTTGAATTTTTACCTTTGGAGAAAACATACTACTTAAGACTTCCAGTATAGTGATAGAAAATTATCTTTATATAAATTTTATTCAGATTATTCAAAGTAATCTAAGATTTTAAATTATTTTTATTAAATTAAATTTGTAATATAATTAAGATCATTGATCATTAACCTTTTTAAATTAATTAATTTCAATTATAGAAAAATGCATTTTCTTCTTAGATTCTTTACACTTAAAGCTGAAGTGTTATTTTGCTACTTGTATGTGTATCAGATACTTTGTTTATTAATCTAAGACATTAGTAATAAAAGGAGTGCCTTACAATTATTGCCGGTATATTTTTTCATATGTAGGAAAATGATGAAGATTATGGGACCTGTTCTAGTTCTGTACAATATACACCAGTTTACAAATTACACAATGAAAAGGGAGGAAACTCAGAAAAGCGTAAGCTTGCTCAGGTAAGTAAGGTTATTTACCCTTCATTCCTCCACATTCTCAAATTATATAATTCCAATAAATTATTTAGGTACAATTTGGATCCATTTATAAGAAAACCTGCAGTATTGGTCAAGGGGAGGAGTAGGTGGAATCTGGGAAGGCTACAAGGGGATCGAGAGTCAAATGTTTCAGACATCAGTCTCCACATGCTTTGTTAGCCCATGCCGTCATAGATCTCATAGTCCAGTGAGGGAAAAGACAATTGAATGTGTGATTCTTATAGAATGTGGATATCTTGATGATAAACTGGAAATCAGAGGATTCCTTTACTACAAAAATAAAATCAATCTTATACATGGGTATTTGGCCATTAAAATAGTCTATAGAAATTAAAATCTGAACTACTGTACTATAAGTCTGTTCTTTTCTAAAGTTAGATTATTTTATCTGCTATAAATATTTAAAGCTTCTTTTTATATGCTACTTAAAATATTGTCTCAAGTGACAGAGTGTTCAGAATCATAGCTATAAGTGTTTCTGGTTTTTTTTTTCAGAAGTGCATTTATGAAGGCTCTAACTAAACAAAATTGGTATATACCAAATCGTATCCTTAGAAAACTAGCTTCAAAAAAGAATTCTTGAGTGGACTCTAGCTACAAAATTACAGAACTGGAAGTGGCTGCAAAGCTTCATTTATTACAGTTGCCAAGGTTTGCAGATGAGAAAGTTGATAGCTAGAATGGTCACAAGACTTGCCATAAGTCTCATAACTGATCAGTGGCAGAAGGAGGTGAAACCCTATCTCTGACGCTCAGTTAGCTTTCCTGGTTAGCCAGGCGCCACAGAAGTATACATGGCCATAAAGTGCTTCCATGGGTCTTTGTCTTCGAACCCATTTTGTGCTGCTGTACCAGAATACCTGAGACTGGGTAATTTGTAAAGAACAGAAGTTTATTTCCCACAGTTCTGCAGGCTGGAAAGTCCAAGATCAAGGCACTGGCACCTTATGAGGTCCTTCTTGCTGTGTCATCCCATGGTGGAAGGCAGAAAGGCAAGAGAGATGAGGGGGGCAAACTCACCCTTTTATAACAGCACTAATCCCACCCAAGAGGGTAGAACCCTCATGGCCTAATCACCTCTTAAAAGTCCCACTTCTTAATACCATTACAATGGCAATTAAATTTCAACATGATTTTGAGAGGACAAAATTCAAACCTTAACAGTCTTTAAGAATGGGAAAGGATAGTGAAGCTGTACTGAAACTCCAGGCCTTTGTAGGAAAAAAAAAATCCCATTAATTCAGTCATTCATCAACACTATATGCCAGACACTTTTCTAGATACCAGGTATATATAAAAGGAAAACACAAAAATTCTCTGACTTCATGGGACTATTTTTGTAACATACTGAGTAATTCCTTCTGATTTATTTATTTTTTAAGCTGATATTTTCACATTAGAATTGCATACTTGTAGCATACCGATAGTCAATAGTGATTGTCTGTTCTAGAATAAGCCCTTCAGTAAAATAATTATTCCAGAAGTCAGAAACATTTTCTTGTTACTGCTGTTAACTGGAGAACATTTATTAATGCGTGAACTAATGATGGATTTGCTATTGATTTTTCTGTTGTTTTTTCCCCACCACTAATATGCGCAATTCTTGTCTTTTTTCAAGCTTTAACATCTCAAATGCTGTCGTAAAATGTTTACTGGCTTAATGTTGGAGCATTTAGGTTATCTTTACCATGGCAAGTAGATTTTCTGTGAAAAAGAATATGAGATCTTTGTTACCTATAGGATACTTTGAGATATATAAAAAAAAAAAGATTTATATTGGAGAAACACGTTTCCTAAATATCAGTTTCATCTTATGACAATTATTAGCTCCTCATATTTTAATTAATTTATTTTTCATTACAAGTTGACTGTTTATAATTATATAAATTTATAGGGTCTAAAGTAGTGTTATGATTCATTAATATAATGTGGAATAATTAAATAAAGCTAGTTAACATTTCCATCACCTCAAATACTTAACATTTTTTGTGGTAAGAACATTTGAAATTTGCTCTCTTAGCAATTTTGAAATGTACAGTACTCTATTTGTTAATTATATTCACCATGCTGTAAAGTAGATCTAAAAAAAATTTTAAAGTCTTTCCTTTAACATGGCATAGCATTTTTATGATAATGTAATTACAGAATACATTACTGATTTCTGTTTTTGTTTTCTGTTAACTTCTAAAGACAGTTTATTTATTACATATATTTAATGTGTATAACATGATGTTTTGATATACATATACGTAACAAAATGATTACTACACTCAAGCAAATTAACACAACTATTATCTCAAAGTTACCTGTTTTTTTGCAAAGTAAGAACACCTAAAATCTATTCTTTTAGTAATTTTCTAGTATACAACACAGTATTATTAACTATAGTCCTCACACTGTACATTCTGATAGAGAAAATTGTATTAGGTTATGGAAAACCTTATAGAATAATGGGTTCCATTCAGTGTATACTTATACTAAGTCTTCAGGGCTATTATGTATTATCATTAATTCAGTTATCTGCATTCATTAGCATTTTATGGTTTACAGTAGACATGACAGCAATAACTATAACAGGAATTGAGAGGAGTAGGGCTTATTCTTTACGAATTCTAGCATGATTTTCGTACTTGCTGTATAGGAATTTGTTAAACCTATGTGTTTAGAATTGTGATGCAAATGTTGATAATATCTGAATAACAATCTTTTGTTTTCAAATGATAAATATCTGAGTTTCAGGAAATGTGTATACCTAGTATATATGTTTCTTTTTATTCTTTATGTGTCCCATTATATAAATAGGTAAATATATCTGTGTGTTGTATATACCTTTTTTTTTTTATTTTCTCTGAGACGGAATCTTGCTCTGTCCCCCAGGCTGGAGTTCAGTGGCATGATCTGGGCTCACCGAAAGCTCAGCCTCACGGGTTCACACCATTCTCCTGCCTCAGCCTCCCAAGTAGCTGGGACCACAGGCGCCCACCACTAAGCCTGGCTAATTTTGTTTTTGTATTTTTAGTAGAGACGGGGTTTCATAATGTTAGCCAGGATGGTCTCCATCTCCTGATGTCATGATCCACCCTCCTCAGCCTCCTAAAGTGCTGGGATTACAGGCATGAACCACTGAGCCCAGCCTGTGTTATATATATCTTAATAGCAAAATTTTTAAGAGTTCATATGCCCAATCATTTTTCGCCTACTAGTATCTATTACAGTTTAGTATTTTGCTTGCATTTTTTTCTATAACCGAAATTTGATTTTTTAGTTTTAGATTCACATATGTATTTAACAAAGAGCTAAATTTTGGGCCTTCTGGCAATTTTTTTTCTGCTACATTTCACCCTTAACATTTTTTTCCCAAGGCTTCCAGAGTCCATGCTATCTTGCATTACTAATGTTACTTCTTTGAATTGATATTGAGTTGTTACTGCTTTGAAATGATAGCCAATTGGTGGCCAACAGTTTATTTATAAAAGAGCAGGGTACATTTACATTGAAATTATCGTCAAATCCTTGATTTTAATTATTTAGTTTTAATAGTGTTAGCAAACTCACAAATTAGATAAAATAATATCAAGCCATTTATTATAAGGATAAAGGCATTCTTTAGGACATCGAATTGCAGGAATATATCTAGGCGTCTGGTAGGATTAGAACTAGGAAATGGAAAAAGTAATCAGGGAAGAATATCAGCTTCTCTCCCTACCCTACTCATCTCATCTCTCACTCTCTGTCTGTCTCCCTCCCTCCCTCCGTCCCTCTGTCCCTCCCTTTCTCCCTCTCTGTCCCTTTTCTTCTTCCTCTTCTTTTCTCCATCTTCCTCCCTCTCCCCTCCCCTGTTCCTTCATTTCTCTCTTCCCCTCCCATTCCCTCTTTAATACTTGGCCTGTTCTTTCTGCTTATTTGTTCATTGTGCATTCTGTATTTTGGCTTTCTCAGCTTCTCTGTGTCCTTGACACAGATCTTAAAGGCCCTCAGTTGAAGCAGCCACTAGAAATGGATAATTCTAGAATCCAATTTCTTAAGGAAGAATGTAATCAGCTTGCTTGGCCCAGGCATTAATCTTTGGTTCAATAAACTCCAGCCAGAGAGGCAAGGAGAATACCATGTTACCAAGGACACAGGAAGGGCAGTAGGGGTGAGTGGGGTGAACAGTGGAAGCAGTTGTCAGAGAAGTGGTTTTAAGGACTGTGACAATATCTCACAAGATGTCTACTGTTTCTAATGGCTTTACACTATTTTGCTTTTCAAGGTTTCATTTACCTGCAGTCAATGTGGTCAAAACATATTAAATGAAAAATCCCAGAAATAAACAATTCATAAAATTTAAATTACATGCTGTTCTGAGTATTATTATAAGTGTTCTTTTTCATTATCAGTTATTGTTATTAATCTCTTACTGTGCCTCATTTGTAAATGAAACTTTATCATAGGTATGTATGTATGGGAAAAAACATACTTTGTATAGGGTTTGGTACTAACTGCACTTTCAGGCACCCGTGGGGGTCTTGGAACATATCCACCATGGGTAAGGGGGAACTGTTGTAATGCTATTTGCCAAAAAGTTATATTTGCAAAATAACAAAAACAAGTCGGCATTTTTAAATGCCTGGAGGCTGGAAATTTGTACCACAAATCTGGGGTTTGATAAATTTAAGGTCAGCCTACCCTAATGGATTGATGTTGCCTTAATTCTCTCCTGAGAATTGAGCCACTTACACTAACAAAAAAGGCTACAAATGGAAATGAATTTAGGGTACTGTATTTGCACATTGGGCAAGGAAATCAAAAGTCATCAGCCATAGTCTGCTGCCTTTTCTTTGCAGTCTGATATTGCAGAAGCTTCTTTGGTTTGCTTTTCTGGATATAATCCAGCCCCATTGATTTAATTGAAATATAATACAGTATGTTATGGAAGAGGCAGAAAGCTGATGCTAGAGCCCTGGTCATACTGTCTTACG